TTTTTTCATATGCCTTTCATTAAAACCAGTTTCATTGTTTAACCCTCGCCGGCACAAGGGGGGGGGGCAGGTTTTTCGCAAATAACTCGCGCAAGAAGCGGCTGATCGCGACGACACTTTCAGTACCCTCGTGTTAATCAATTTTACACCTACCCTGATAATTTCATGACACTGACCCAAATGACCTTTGACCTGTGGCCTAGTTTCCAAGACCATGTTTGGCCAGAATCGCGATTCGGCGTACGTCGGCTCGCATTACCAGCGCGTTTGCAGTCTTTTCGTGGTTTCAAGCGTTCAAACATGTGATATGATGTTGGTCTCATGGATTAGGATGGGTGTCAAGGTCACCTGAAGGTCAGGTCAGGTCATTGACCTTTGGTGACCTCGGTTAAAAACCATTTGAACATTTACAAAGTAGTTTTCGTGCCTTCGTAACATGTTACGAGGCTGTCAGAGGCGGTTGACACCTATGTACTACAAATACCCGGCAGCACCCTTACTGGTTGACCTGACCTGACCTGGCCTACATGCATAAAGACATCATCTGTGATCAAAACCAACATGATATTCGTGATCAGCGCCCCGAAAAAAAACAGCAGCCACCCTTTACGATGTTCTTGCAGGTCCCGATTTTCCCGACCTTTGGGTCATTGACCTGACCTAGAAGGTCAACCGATGACCTAGGACCTCAAAATTGGGTATCATCGGCTTCCTCTTGTCAAGGGCAACACGCTCGTTTTTTCCGCGAAGCTCTAGCTCCATCAGGGGCCAAACGCCAGGGAGGTCGTACCCCCCCCCCCCTGTGCCGTCGAAGGACGCAAAATGGCCTGTGCCGGCGAGGGTTAAAGTATAAATTACCTTATGAAAAGGCTACACTGAATATGGGGCATGGATCATGCAGCACAGATAACCAATGACATTCAGGTACTCAGATTATTTTTCAAAGAAAGGAGCAAAATAGAGCAAAAAACCGGAACATGTAAACCATTACCCCGGGTTTCCAAAAACTGTAAATCTTTTATTAATTTTCGTTTTCAACCCTTGTATGTTCTGCCATGACAAGTCTACGACAAAGGGGAACAGGCGGTGATGACGTTCATTGCATTCTCTAATTTTGCCAAAAGTGTATAGCTACCAAAAAAGAATGATTCCGGGAAGAGCCGGCATAAGTACTGGACGTCAATATTTTGGGCAAAGAAAAAAAACATTAATATGTCACGAAGCAAATATAACTGTTGAACGCATCTCCAAAGTCGCAGCGAGAAGGGACTTGCCTGAATTGTGAGCTCGAAGATCCTGTCAGTTATATGCAGTGAGATGATAGTTGCTGCTGCGAGAGCGTCGTCTCCGAGCGTGTCGTCACCACTCCCACCTTTTCCTGCACCACTCTCCGCCGAAAACTCTCACAACCCACTGACAGTCCACTGACACCACCACCGGCATGTTCACTGTATGGCGCAACTGCCAACCGACTGCTGCCTTGAAAATGGCGTCGAATAACGCACGTGCATCAGCGCCGCGATGGCGGCAAAACTCTTTCAAGAGGAGTTTCAGGTCTTTTTTCGGAGTTCAGTTACTCTTCTTTTCTTTTGACTGTTCTCTCGGTTCTTCGTTAACTCCCTTTGCGGTGAATTACTCTGCATTGCGTACTTCCATGCTTATTCGAACTGTCACAGCAGAGTAACAAAACTCCGACCGGGTTTGTATACTCCGAGCGGTTATGCATGGGGAGTAAATGAAATCCCAATCTCTTTCCTTTACTCCGACAGATAAAGTGAGGTACTTTTATTACTCTTCCTCGCCATGAAATACTCCAAAATGAATGGTATATGAACACCATCAAAAGGAGTTTTCAAAAAAAGGTGTATGTAAATCTCTCGCGGAGTAAATATTTTTTTCCGTGTAACGTTATCGCTTCACATGCACTTGCAATACAAGACCAAAAACCGCCGTAAGATACGGTCTCGCTTTATGAAACGAGGCCCAGGCCCGTATATCAACCAGTACCTGTTGTGACCAGGGGAAGCATCTGTTTATGGCAGAATTCTACCAGCCAGCGCATATCTCTATAGCGAACCATTTCCATCCTTTTTCTCCGCGGTAAACCCTCGCGGGCCTGGGGGGGGGCGTTTTTCGCCCCCCCCTGGCGAATATTTGCGATAACTCCCGAACGCTTAGGGATAGGAAGGCGAAACTTTCAGTACCTTTACTCCCATCAATTTGACATCTTCTGAAGTAAAAAATTTGGACCTAGCCCCCTTGATGACGTCACAAGGTCCACTTTCTTCCACAGGACAAAATGAAAGTAGGCAAACAAAACAGCATCAGCAGCGCTTTCAAATAATAGGTGCCAGGTCTGAAGACGCTCACAAGAAAAAATCACTCGCTGAATAATGCTGCTCGGTATATTCCGTATTGTGTGGGTCCATTTTTCTAGACCCCTGCACGGCAAACTTCGGCGTCACAGACGCAAACTTCAAATAGCTGCTAAAAATAGAGTTTTAGAGATAAAGACAAATTACAAGCACGGCTGTGTAGCGTTTGACCTAGAGAAAAATGGAAAAATAGTTTTGGTGACCTGAGGTCAGAGGTCAGGTCAACGACCCCGAAATGTGGTTTTAGTTTTTCGCAAATAACTTCGACAAAAATGGTCCTAGAGCTACGGCAGTGGTTTCATCGCATTCGCCTTGTCAAGCCGCGTCGAATGATATATATTTTGTTCGGAAAAGGTCAAGTTTCATGTTGACCTCATGTGACCTCGAATGACCTCTGGTTGACCTTGACACATTGAAGGTCGTTTATGATGGATTTGTACCCGCTGATCACGAATCTGGCATCTATTTTCCTCTAAGCCTTCATTTAGAGCTTCCGGATGGCAAAATTGTCTTATTTATTATTACTAACTTGAATCAGTGAAATAGCCTCTAGCAGGGATACTCTTCAGTGACCTTGACCTTTGAGCAGCCTTGTATCGTAAGATGAACCACAAATAGGGAACTGATAAGCCTCAAAACATTTCAAAACATCTTGGAAGTTAGCACGCAAGATGTGCGGAAAAGTGCCAAGTTTGAGGTCAAATATGTGCGTGACCTTGACCTTGACCTTTGATTTGGAGCACATTTTCAGAATCCTAAGATTCTCTTCTTTCGTTTGACACCCAATTTTGCCGGTTTGATGCAGCCTGCCGTCCTCTAGAAGGCTTACTTTGAGATCACTACACATGTGCCGGTTTTGGCCTTTGACCTTGACCTCTGACCTTGAAAATTGACCTGAGGTCAAAAATTTTAGGTGCATTAGAATCGTCTCGTAAGGACCTTTCGTTTGGTATCGCTTTTGTTTCCGTAGCTCCCTTATTTACGGAGTTAGACAGGGGGGGCGAAAAACGCCCCCCCGGGCTGCGGTGGTTGGGATTACCCCCCGGGCCCGGCCGGGTAAATGTAGATGATTGTAGCCGGAGCTTTGTGTTGCGCCCAATTATCTCACGATGACAATGCTCCTTCAGTCACCGACTCAGCGCTTCGGGAGGCGGGAGCAGAACAGCCAGGTCAGGTCTTATGTTCTTCTAATGACACCGTGACCTACATATATATCATTTATAACGCCATGTTCACTTCCACGTAGAGAGTGGAAAAGAGAGAATGAAAAGTCTAAAAGTCTAAAAGTCTCTGTCTTAAAGAAAAGAGAATGAAAAGTCGTTTTGCTTCCAATGTGCCGCTGGACTTTAGACTGTTTTACAAAGCCTTAGTCAGTTAGCTTGGGTTTTGGCTCCAAGTGGGTTTCCTGCACTAAACTGAGCATCGCTAGAGAAAGAGAGAAGAAAAGGAGCGAAGGAGGTAAGAAATGAGAAAAAAGAGTAAGGGAAAAAAACGATGTGGAATCTGGAAAAGAGAGAACATCAGCAAGGACAGCGGTAGCCGGGGAGGGAAAGGGGACACCGAAAAGGGCATAGTTAGAGTAAAGGGTAACTGTTATACAGCGGAGTCAGCGGCGACAGAGGAGGGGACGGCAGAGTCAGCGGCACTGACTGCGATAAGCAGAGCGCGAACCTCACGCAGTCGGCCGCTGAACCGCCCGGCTCGGCGGCTTTATTATGGCCCAGCGTGCCATGACGTTAGGCGTCCTGAAGCGTGGCACATTGTCCTGTGCCGCCGTCGAACGACTCCGACCCGACGGAAACTCTGCACTTCTCTGGTTATTGTCAGTGGAACAGCTCATGAGCCGGGCGAGTAAACGCACCGGGAACATTCTTTACGATGTTGGCCTCACGTAACGAATGCCAGGAGTCTAGGTAATGAGGATCGTGAGCAATTAGACCGGTTGGGGAACAGATGGTGTCTGGTGATGAATGGACGCGTTTCTGTAGACTATGACCTCACCTGTTTGCCATCTGAGGATGTCGGTGATGGCGTCAAAAATGCACTAATCACTAATCAGTAATCACCCTCGTTTGTGTGCTGCTCAAGGATGTCTGATCTGAAATAAATCTCCGACGCCTGAAAAGATTTCCCAATCCGACCCTTTCATGCGTCTCGTGCGTTCACCGCCCTTTGAAAAATTTGTTACTTACGGCGATTGTTGTAGATTTATTGCCCGCCGCTTCCCTATGAAGGTACAAATTATCGTGTGAAGAATGAGGCCGAAGCTGGCACTTTTTGTTCCGTTACTTACCCGTTCAGCGTGAACGGAGGGCCTCCGCAATCAAATCACGGCAGCCCGAGCGCCACAGGGTCTCTCACGGCATGAGCCAGCTGTTGAATGTGCCTGTCAGCTTCTCGCACGTGAGCATACATCCGGCGCATGTTAAATTAGTCTTCAAGAGCACTCCCCGATATTTTGTTTCAACTTGACGAGTGTTTGCGATCTAACGTGAATTTGATGAAACTATAACGCTCGCATTTTGCAAGAATCAGGAGACATAAACGTAGTGTACTTTTAGATTTGCGTCACACTCATGACAGATAACTGACTAATGCCCGCCATCCGTTTTTCCCCTTTCTCAGGCGTTCGACTCTGCCCGCAAGATCCGCTGCATGCTGCGTCCGCACGGGGCGCGGCAGGTCAACGAGAAGGTGGTGTCGTACGCCTTCAACGTGGACACGCTGCACCAGAAGGAGGTCACCTTCGAGACTGATGAGGACGTCAGCAAGGCCAACGCCGTGCTGGACATTCAGGTGAGCCGGCAGCGGCAGCCGTAGAGGACGGCGCGACGAGAAAGTCATGCAAAGATCAGACAAGTTTTTGGTCTTTGTAGGTAGACGAGCGCGTAAAAGTTAAACAGGCTCGCATCTTAGCACGTGAGTAGCATTTCATATCACTACATAACGTAAACACAAGCGATTTCACCGCAGTGAAACCGTTGATCTTCGCCAGTTTTAGAAACGCTTCCTCATATTTCGGAAGAAATGTTAGTCGCTTGACCGTTTACCGACAGGCATACTCTTAAGTCTAAATCCGTAGGATTTCATGGTTACTTTGGCGGTGCAGCGAATAAAAGCTGCACTTCCCCTAATCAAACCGGTCTTGCGCGCAAATCTTGCCATCCATGCATTCACGTAAACCGATCAGTGCCGAAAAACAAGAAGAATTATGGCCATTCTTAACAATCCACCCACTCTCCCTTTGGCGTGAACCTGCTCTGAATGAAGAGTGGCTGGTCCCTTCTCAGCCCAAAGCGGCCCGCCCGTAACCCATGTCAGACGCGTCGCACGCGCCGGGCCGCCAGCGACGCGTGCGACGCGAGCCGCAAGGCGGCAAAACCGCACCTGCTTCAACCGGACTGCGGTCGGTGGGTCCTCGAAGCGGTACGGCGGGCAAGGAACACTCCGAGTGCGCGGTCAGTGGCGGCACGCGGCCGACCGGAGGTTTTTACCAGCCCTCTGCGCGGTCGGAGGTCTACCGGTGACAGCGAAAGCAGAAAAGTCGCTGACCGTCCTCATGCAACATGCCGGCGCGTGTGAGCATGGCCCGTCGGATCTGGTCGCGGTGGGCTCACCGGCGGTCAGCCAGCGGCGAAACGACCGAGGTCGGAGTTTTTGTGCCGATACTCCCGTGACTCCATGTAACCATTCGTTCCGCAGTGAGCCATTGCCTCTCACAACGCTTTGCTGAGAGCCCATGGTATTCAATTTTAGTACGCGGTAGAGTAAAGCTTATCGGTAACTTCTTGTCGCTCGTTAGTATTCCGGTGATATGGAAAATGTCGTTTCCGCATTGCTCTTAAAACACGCACAGCTTTACGCGCATTACCCGTGACGTCGGCCATATCAGAGAAGGCCCAGTACCGCACCTTTCTCCGTATCATCTGCTCATTGACCGCGCTTCTAACCGATAGCCCACTGTCCGTAAGGACGGTTCTACAACATATGCACTGTCCGTGCTGCCAGCAGATCGGTCAGGGACCGTACGGACGATCTCTCTAAGTTATCCCTCGCCGGCCGGGGGGGGGGGGCGGGTGCCGCCCCCCATAGGGTTTTTTTCGCGATAGCTCCGAACACGCTGGCGATAGAGAGCTGAAACTTGGCATACCTGACCTTTGATCCAAGCCGCATCTTTTGACACCAACCGCATTTTTGGGTCAGGTCAGGTCACTGACCTATGACGTCATAAGTGAACCTCTGCACGGTCTTCAGATGTCGCAACTTCGCAACGCCCTCACTGCCAGAGGAGATGTCACAGGGAAATGAAACTTGCTGGATCTAGTATCCATAATGAGTCTCACAACTTGTATATCTCGGATTTTTCGTAAAGGTCATATGAGGTCAGGTCATTTTCGTGACCTCACCATTATAAGTCAATGGGGAAAAATGAAAACTGTTATTCTGGCGCCGGGAACGATCTCCAACTATCTCAAGCACGCAGAATCGTGATGTGATGCACTCCTTGCAAGGTTAGATGCGTCGCTTTTGCAATGTTGACCTTCCGTGACGTCATTTATGACGTCATCAAGGTCATATTAGTTTTTCGTCAATAACTCCCGATCAAATTGAGCTAGCGAGTCGAGAAAGCCACCAATGGACTCAGGAAGACCTGCCGAATCGAATGATATGCGACATGACCTCTTTCGACCAACTTCGTGACCTGGGGGTGCTGACCTGACCTTGACCTGAGGTCAACACCCTAAGTTGACCTGACCCGAACAAAAAGTATATCATTCGACGCGCCTGAGCGAGGCGAACACGATGCTGCCAAAATCGCGGCTCTGCGGCCGTTTTTTGCGAAGTTATTCACCAAAAACTGAACCGTATCCTGGGGCACCTGACCTGACCTCAGAGGTCACCGGTTGACCTAGGACCTTAAAATCGGGTACCAATCTCTGCGTCTCGTAACGGCGCACACGCTCGTTTTTTCCGCGACGCGCTAGCTCCACCAGGGGCGAAACGGCGAGAGGGGGGGGGGGTCGTACCCGCCCCCCCCCCTCGGCCGGCGCGTATGTAGAAAACCAATAGGTCCGGCGAGGGTTATAACTATTACGGTGTTCGTGCTGCCGCCAGATCGGTCAGGACAATCTCTCTGAGTTATAACTATTTACTATCCGCTGTTCGTGCTGCCAACAGATCGGCCAGGGCCCGTACGCTCCTTCGGTGGACGGTCTGGTGAAGATTGGCGATATCCTCACTATGGTAGTCGAGGCGGAGGGAGACAACGACGTCGACGTGCGCGTGCGACAGTGCATCGCCATGAACGGCGACAGGTGAGACGAAGGGGGAGCAGAGCTCAGGGAAAATGAGTGATCATGGGGACATGGCGCGAGCCAAACGGCGAAAATTGGTGGTAGGAGACTTCGATATTCAGTAAAGCACAGACGTCATCCCGGATCAGAATAAGTGATAAAAAGCAAGAAAAGTTAGGCTTGGATTTACGGTCGAAATACGGATATGAAAGCGTAGATCTTTATGGCTTTGTCACTTCTGCGTTTAAAGGTAGTGTGCCACCTTTGAAAGATTTCCCATTTTATTTTTCCTAGGATAAGAAGCTTCTGTTTTTACCTAATATCGCAAAAAAAATCAAAAATGGGCCTGGAATAGTGCCTTTTTCGCCTAAAAGTTTTTCGGTTTTTAGATATGTATAACAACTGTAGTGGGCTCACCTGCAAACAGGCGTCGGGCAACAATCGGGAATGCGGCGCACTTGTGACAATAAGCAAAGGTCATTATAGTGTTACGACCATACGACGTACGGGAATGAGTTATCAGCTGTCTAATCGTAGACAACACAATGTCGAGCCTTAAACTGTAAGCCCGTATTGGTATTGTTTCTTTTATTTGGCTGTCGAACATTATTTATGGTTTGAAATATGATTTTATGTAAAATAATTGATATGAAAAAGCCGTCTTATAAGTTATGACCCCATTTCACCACACGCAAGTGGCAGAAATGACAATGATCAGCTGACGCATTTTTCTTGGCCGAAGTCAGAGCGCGCGGCCCGACGCACCACGCGTATTTGGAAATTCCGACCTCGACGAGCATCAGAAGCCACCTAACAGGCGTGTTCGAAACCGCAGGAGATGATGATGAACGGGTTTATCGAAACTTGATTGGATGAGCATATCGGTAATAGCGATTTCAGTGTGTGCATTTATTGTTCATAGTGGTGTGAAATGTGGTTGGGGTACGACCGACAACCCGTCGGGGCGAATTTCGCACTGGGGTACTCAAAATTTGAAGAATTTAAGACGTTTCCATGAGTTTTGAAGGTATGGATAAGTTCTAAAAATCCGGTTCTCCTTATCTGGGCCATTAACTCCATACGGTCCAAGAAAGCTGGCACACTACCTTTAAAGGATGCAATTGTACTGAGGGCAAAAACTTTACAACGACCATTCACAGTTTCATGGGACGCACCATTTTAGCACCCTTTCCTCCACTACCAATTGTCATGTTTTGCTCTGGCTCACCTCGCGTGCTGCGGAGAGCTGCGACACCGTGACCGAGCCGCTCGTGACCATTGATCTCCGGGTGGTGGGGTAGGGTGATGCCCCCTGCGTACACATTTCACCCCACAGCCGGCTGCTCCGGGGATGACTTTCGTCACATGGTGAAACGCGCGGGGTTAGATCGACATTCCACGGAGAGAGAGAGAGAGAGAGAGAGAGAGAGAGAGAGAGAGAGAGAGAGAGAGAGAGAGAGAGAGAGAGAGAGAGAGAGAGAGAGAGAGAGAGAGAGAGTGAGAGAGAGAGAAAGAGAGAGAGAGAGAGGGAGGGAGGGCGAGAGAGAGAGAGAGAGAGAGAGAGAGAGAGAGAGAGAGAGAGAGAGAGAGAGAGAGAGAGAGAGAGAGAGAGAGAGAGAGAGAGAGAAGAGAGAGAGAGAGGGAGGGAGGGCGAGAGAGAGAGAGAGAGAGAGAGAGAGAGAGAGAGAGAGAGAGAGAGAGAGAGAGAGAGAGAGAGAGAGAGAGAGAGAGAGAGAGAGAGGGGAGTGCGTGCCGATGTTCGGACTACACAGAGTAAAATTTACTAATCGAATCGCACATTCACAGCTCACAGCTGACAGGTACCCGGACTATAACGGGTGTGCACTTAGTTTCTGGACAAAGTTTGTGCTGCCATAACTTTAGTGTTTGAACTTAGATTAAGATGATATTTGGCACATATATAAATTGCAACAACAGTTAAGAGTTGTCAAAAGAATTAGGCGCTCTCTCCTCCGAGGCGGTCCACAGCCCACCACTATACAGACGCCCCCTGTTAAAATTGCGCGGCACCTCCGGGTCCAGGTGTGGCGATGGCTAGCGGGTTATGGACTTCAAATAGACGCTCATATGCACTTAGCATCTTCCTTAGTACTATATTGTCTTCAAAAGTCCCCATTCGGTCGCCGTTGAGATATGCCAAGAAGATTCTCTTCGCGGCTCACAAACGGTACATGTGCGCCGTCCCGTAGATCCAGCGCTCCGCGCGCACAGTGACTGCATTGTGGTGTGATCATGACACCTATACTTTGCTCGGGCAGTGATATTCCCAATGTGACAAAATTTCTTTATTTAAGCACTGCTGTCAAAAGATATCGACGTCGGCATTGGCTACATAGGGCTAACATAATGATTGGATACCGCACGTGGGGATATGTCGGTCCACTGACCAGGAGATTGCGTCGAAAGTGGTCAACAGGCTAAGGTTCCACATTTTGTGAGCGCCTGCTTCTTGAGGTGGTGTTTTACTCCATCTTCATTACATAAAATTTCCCTTTTAGTTGATCTAATTCCAGCATCCACAGGTGATTGTTTGATTCGTCTGTGCACTCAGCATTTATCGTGATAGCTTACAGATCCATGTCTCATTGCTCCTCTGCTGCTTTTATCGGCTGCCGAGTGCTGGATCATGGCATCTCTACCCTTTTTGGTATACAATATCACAATTTAAATTTTTTCTTACAAACATGGAAAACGGGAGGACGGGAAACGTATCGGGGACGCTCACAAGATGGTGATTACCTTTTACCAGAACGAGCCTCTTCTGCTGCACTGAAAACAAATCGACACAGTGAGGGCATGTTCTGTACTGGTAACACATCAGGCATGTGTTAATCGCACCCAAAACACAATAAGGCTGAGTATTTTCACGCTTGTCGGGACCTTCGACAAGTTTGATAACACATAAAACAGAAAAATGACACAGTTTTTTCGTGCCAAGCACGCTGGACGAATGTAATGCATCAGGGTATCGAAATCATGTGTTGTCGGGGATGGTAGACGTGTACCCTTGCACAAATACACCGTGTCATCCACCAGTGAGCGACCTCTGAACCTTAACTTCAGATGGGGATAATAGAGGGCGTTTTTCGAGCACCGACTTTTATGCTGGGTCGTTAGGCGGCACGGGCGGACATCGATAGCAGCGCCTCTATCGGTCACTAGGGAAAGCTGGGCTGTAGGCGACAAAATACCGGCTGAGTTGTCACAAGTTAAATAGGTTTATAGACATCCGTCTTGTGAAAAAGTTGAACTTTTGCCTTCAATATTTCTACAGGCAATTTTAGAAGAGCCTCCACATAGATTACAAAACCGTTTAAATTATTTTATTCACTTCAAGCAGGGCCTCCTCTAACATACCCACTGGGTGGGCAAATGCCTACCCAGTCACCACAATTGCCCACCCAGTGGCGTCGATTTGCCCACCCAGAAGCAAATGCAAAAATAAAGGTCCGGTCAGACGTCCGGTAGGAACTACCACTTCGGTTTCCCGGAAAAAAACTTGCTAGCAGCCAGTGCCCCAGCCCCCAATCACTGCAGTGCAAGTTATTTTTTTTTTTTTACAATGGATGCATCTGAGTGCAGGGGCGGTAGCAGACTTGGCGTTTGGGGGTGGGGGCAACTTGGCAACTTTGCCAACCCTCGGAGGGGGGGGGGGGGGGCGGTGCTAGCTTACAGGGGCCCATGGCCATAGCGGCCTCAAAGGCCCGTATGGAACCCCAGAGGCCGATGTGGGCTCTCAGAGGCCAGTGCGTGACGCCTAAAGGTGTAAGCCATGGGTCCCCAGCCAGACAACAAAATAGGGCCATCAGAGACCTTATAGGCTGATTGGGGACTAAATAGGGCCTCAATTTGGAGCCATCAGAGGCAAATGTGGGCCTCAGATATCAGTGTGAGGCCCTTATAAGACTGACATTGGTCCTCAGAGACCGGCATCGATCCTTCAGAAGCCAGTACCTCAGAGGCACAAAAGGGTCAGTGTAGGATCTCAGAGGCAGAAAATGGGCCATCAGCAACCGGTGTGGGACCTTTAGAGGTCGGTTTGTGCCCTCAGAGGCCAGTTTAAGGCCCTCAGAGACCAGTACAGGGCCTGAAAATGGCAGTTTGAGGCCATCAGAGGCCGACTTAGGCTCTCAAAGGCTAATGCGGGTCCTTGAGGCAAGGATGGGACCCTCAGGGGTCAGTGTGGCACCCGAAAAGACAGGCTTGGGCTGGTGTTGGACCCCAGAGTCCAGAAAAGGCCAAGTTGAGCCCTCAGAGCCGATGCAGGTCCTTAACCCGGCAGTTGCTGGGGTATTTCGCCACCCACCGTTTGCTGGGGGGGGGGGGGGGAGGGCGTTAAACGCCCTCAGCCGATAACTCGAGAACCAATAGGCGCAGCGAAACGAACGAGGCGGCAAACGAAAGAACGCGACGAGACGCTTCAGATGAGTACTTTAAAGTTGAATTTTGAGGTCACAGGTCGGGTCAAGGTCACGTCAAACATCTGAAATCGGACTTTCAGTAGCATGGACTTCAGGACTTCACGATGGGCGCCTCCCGTCATAAACTCTGTCAAAACGGCGCACAATCCATCATATAAGGCCTACAAGAGTGTCAGCTCCATGTAGGGGTCAGTCAAGCATAGGCCAGGGTCAAGGTCAGGTCAACCGGGTAGACACATATCCCCGAAAATCAAAACTGATATTCGCAGCCTGTGACACATGTTTTATGAGTAATTTGGGGCGTAGAACACGATGGTGACATTCATTTTATCTTCATATGTGTACGTGTTTGGGTCAAAAAGTTCAAATTAAGAAATGCATGCATCATGGTCGTGAAGTAGTCATGAGAAATTGCCAAGATTCAGTTCAAGATTTTGGAAAATGCGGAACGATAATCAATAATCGAAGATAGCCATTTGATTGTTCATGGTATTGGCAGTCTAATGGCGTTTACGGCATGTCTGTATGTCTATTCTGTGATTTTATATGATTTTTTGAACATATAACATGTTTGGTCGA